CATGGCAGCCATCATGTGTCTCAGCTCTGCTGGATCTTTGTCAAGCAGCTGTGCTGGCTTTGTGACTTCTGCCATTCCATTGAGATGTGGCTGTGCCACTCACTATTTGCTACTGTGATGCTTCAGGGATAGGGGGAATCATTGCCTTCTGGATCTAGTATGACCCCCACAAGGCTTCAATGGATAGTTCCAGTACAATGCTCACACCAGTTGGTTGAACTACATGGGTCACACAATGCAGCACAAAGTTATAAATCTGGGATAGGAAAAGTAGGGGTTAATAGGAATGGGAAGGAGATAAGAGAGGGGACGCATAGAGAGAGACAGAGAGAGAAAAGAGAGAGAGAGACAAAGACACACACACACAGAGAGAGAGAGAGAGAGAGAGAGAGAGAGAGAGAGAGAGAGACAATAAATAAGGACTTACTGTATATCTCTCCAATCCATACTTTTCCTGGATTCTCCTCATTATTTCATTTAGTCTGAATTACAAAAGACAGTACACTGTGGACTCATTCTCTTCTTATTTTGTATTTTCTTCAAGCTTTGGGTTCCAAAGACATGCTGTAGTAAATATGTTAATATGTGTCTCAGCATGGATCTCATATGATGTGAGCTTGAATCTAGGCTCCACCAGTTACTAAGCAGTAACTAACGTGTTCTTGGGCATGTAGTTTAATCCCTTCATGCCTTAGAGCCAGTGTCTGGAATATATGGAAAGAGCTAGTTTCCATTTTAGGAGACAAGGATTTAGTGATTGCTTTTTTTTTTTTGTTTGCCTTTATTCCTGAGCACCCCCTCCATGTGTGTGTGTGTGTGTGTGTGTGTGTGTGTGTGTGTGTGTGCGCGTGCGCGCGCGCGCGTGCACACGCATGTGCATTCACCCCACAGCATGCATGTAGAAGTCACAGGACAATTTGTGGGATTCATTCTACCATTCTTCTACCATTTGGACATTTAGGGTCTGGGGATTAAACTAGGGTAGTCGGTCTTGGTGGCAAAGCACCTTTAGCTGCTGAGCCATCCCACCAGCCCCTGTTGAAGGGTTTAAAGTCAAGACATAATTTAACTGTTTTTTAAATTATTAGGGAAAATTATAGAATTGTATATTCTACAACCTATCATCAACATTTTTAGGATTGCTTGTCTTTCTGATTTGCTTGGTCTCCAAAGTTATTCAGTCATCTTATATTTTCATTACCTGTAGAAAGAGAACTCTCTCTCCGCCCTCACAGCACTTTGTACTGTTGGAGTTCAGTCCACGTCTGTATTTTGGCCAATGGTTTAGGTACCTATTCCTGACCATGACCTAGAATTTCTTTGTTATGCTTGCAAAACCTTATTTTTTTTCCAACTTTATAGGTCTTCTAAAACCAGGAATGGATATTAATTGTATCAAATACTTTTTTGAATCTGTTAAACTGATCATTTGTCTTACTAAAACTGATCATTTGTCTTACTAAATAACCATCCTATGCTCCAAATCAACCTCATTTCATTGTATTTTGTAAGCTACTGAGTTACATTTAGTATATCTTGCTTAGCTTTTTAAAATCAATTTTTGGAGAAGTCTATTTTTTACCCTTAAAACATTCTTTGTCCGATGTCAAGATTAAAGTTGCCTTATGAAATGAGTTGAGTAGGTATCCTACTTTGTTATTTAAAAAACAATTGATAATGCTCACTTCAGCAGCACATGTACTAAAATGGGATCGGCACAGAGAGCTTAGAATGGCCCCTGAGCAAGAATGACATGCAAATTTGTGAAGCACTCCATATTTTTGATGACTTTCTTCTTTGATTCTTTTATTTATGTTTCATATAATGCACAAGTTAACTAAAACAGAAAGCTTCTTTCAAAAACCTATAAATAAAAATCTAATTTGTATGTAATTGTTATCACCTAGTCTTTGAAGTTTGATAAAACTTGTCCATGTCGTTAATCTAACCCTGTGTTTTTTGGGGGGTAGTGGTGGTTTTTTGAATATTAAATAAATGTCCTTAGTAATTATTAGTTTTACATTTTAAAGTTTTCTTCTAAACAAAATGGGATCATTCATATCTTTTCCAGAAAATCAGTTTTATCCTGGTTTTCAAGTTTATTACTGTAAAGTCACTTATAGTGTTTGACTATGATTTTCAGTTTTTCTGCCTGGTCTTCTGCCTACTTGTTTTCTATTGTTTAGTTGTGACTTACATATATTTTCTTTGCATGTGTTGTTGAGTTCTGTCTGGTCATTGGCTATCTGAAAAGAACAGCTTTTAAATTGCTCTATCTTCTCTATTGTTTTAAACCTTATTAATTTTGAAATCTCCCCTTTTCCCTTTGTTATGCTGAGGCTCGAACCCAGGGCCTCTATGTGCTCTGCCTCAGGGTGTCATGCCCAAGCTTGTTTTGGAAAGCTTCTTGAGAAGAATGGCATTCATTCGTTAACCTTTTAAAAGATTAAGTGCATTTAAGTTACAACCAAATCTTTGAGTGTCTTTTTATCAGGATCCCACAGCTCTTTTGTCTTTATTTTCATGTTCCAAGTATTTCCTAATTTTCACTGTGAGTTTATCTTTAGCATGTATGCATTTTAAGGTTATAACATATACAATTTTATTGGATACAAATGTGTACAGACCGGGAAATGACCCTGGACTCAGGTGGCTAGCAGGCCATTCGTATTAGCCTGTTCCTCACCACCCTCATCTCCTCAGATCTGGCTCTCTTCCCAGCCCATGAACTTCTCTACCCCCGCCTCTCTCTCCTTCGCCTCCCCAGCTTCTACCTGCTCACCACAATGGTATTTGACTGTCTAATGCCATAGGAACTGGGAGGTACTTGGTTGAGACCTGCCCTCACCAGTCTCATGACATGGCAGAGAGCTGTTGCTGTGTCGGGCCAGGGGCTGGAGTCCCAGGATCCTGCTCTGTAGACCAGGCTGGCCTCCAATTCACAGAGATCCACCTGGCTCTGCCTTCCGAGTGCTGGGATTAAAGGCATGTGCCACCGCCCCCGGCTTAATAACATTTTTAATCAACGGCCATAGATACCTCTGAGAATGAGCTTAACACATTTCATCTACACATTGGGCATCTTATTATTTCATAGTTTTACTTTTTGTCCCTTTGAAATATAACAGGTTAAAGTCCACATCATGACTTGACAAACCATACGGAGGTATTTTGTTAGTTCTTGTGTTCATGCTTGGTTCTTTTTCATGGTTCTTTCTGGATAATCTTTTCTGACAAGGTACATCCTGTAACAGGTGCTTGGGTTTGTGAACGGAAACTCTCTTGGTTTTCAATGTCAGGATATCGGACAAAATGATACCCCCCTCCCCAGGATAAATCATTAGGTTAAAAGTTATTTTTTTCCTCAGCACTTTGAAAATGTTTATCTGCTGTCTTCCAGTGTTGGTTATTGATAAGAAAGTATCTGTCAGTCTGTTTCCATTGAGTAATGTATTTAATAGATTTGAGGACAGGGTGTAGTTATCCTTTCTGCTCTAATCTTTTGATTTAAATTGTCTATTGATTGATTTTTGTTTATGCTGATCAGCTCTTGGAGTGTTCGCCAGCTATTGCTCCTGGAACAAAACACCTTCCACAAACAACTTAAAAAGAGGGAAGGTTAGTTTTGGCTCATGGTTTTGGCTAAACTCTGTTACTGGAGGCCGGAGGCAAGGCTGAATCTCATGACCATGACAGTAGAAATGAGTGAAGGGTGAGATCCCTCACCCTGTAGTGACCAAGAAACAAAGAGAGAGATGTGAAGGAGCTAGGACATGCTCCCAGTGACTCACAGTTCACAATCCCACCATCTTCTAACAGTATATTCAAATTCTGGATTTGGAAATGGATGAATGCATTTATGAAGATAGAATCCTTATTATCTAATCATCTCCCCAAAGCCCCCATCTCTTGCACTGGGGACCAGGCCTTCAAGGCACACATGACATAACATAGGCTACTGTTAATCATGTCACTGCTTTTAGAAAATTGCTAGTAATTATTTCTTTAGTTATTGTATCTATCATTTCCATCCTCTTTGATTCCAACTAGATGAAGTTGGAAGCTTTTCACAAGTCTACCTTCAACTCTTTTATCTGTATAATATGCATATATATAATGCATGTATAATATATATCATTATCTCCTTATATAACCTTTGTAGATGTGCATTTCATCGTGAGATATAACTCCATAGGCAATGATCGGCAGCGAATTTTCAGGGGCCTCCCAGCAGGGCAGAAGGTCCATAGTAGAGTGACTCCACCTAGAGAGGGCCTCTTTACTCCCCTGTCTGGTGTGGGAAGCTTCTAGTCCTCTCGGGATCTAAACTCTCACACTCGTGTTTGTGTCCAGAGCCCATAGTGAAAACACCAGCTGCCGTGCCCTCCTTCTGCTTATGGTGCATGGAGATGCTTATTTTTATTGTCTTGAGCCTGGTCACAATTTTTAAAATATTGCCCATCGTTGCTATATGTCCGAAGCAGAGAAAACTCACAAAGAGAGCTGTGATTAAAACTTCTCCTAACCTGACGTTTTCTCCGGTGCTTCCTCGGCTCCGGTTGGACTCCCCTTCCTTTGGGGCTCTGCTCACCAAAGTCCGCTGGTACTGCTTGAAGGACTTGGGTGTCATTGCACCAACTACGCTTAAGATGTCATCAGTCACTTTCTTCTCTACTTAGTACCCAGATGAGAATTTGTTAAAAACAAATAAAGCACAGATAAACAGAAAGAACAAATAAATTTAAAAGCAATCATCTACCCATCAACTAAAAAAAACCTTTTTTTCTTTTCTTTCTTTCTCTTTCTTTCTTTCTCTTTCTTTCTTTCTCTCTTTCTCTCTCTTTCTTTCTTTCTTTCTTTCTTTCTTTCTTTCTTTCTTTCTTTCTCTCTCTC